GGGGGGGGGGGGGCTCATGAAGTATAAACATTTAATTATCCGAAAACAACTATATCTGGTGCTTAGAGTAACTCCAGAAACAAATGTGAGATTACTGTGCTCTGCTTAGTTACTATATTACTAAATATTAGTAGGGGGAGAATTAAATGTACATTTTAATTATAGAATTTTTTGATAGTGATTATACTTAATAGTTCTAAGGAATATGAATATATATTGGGTTTTGTATATTTTCCATTATTAAAAGTGTAGGGAGTCTTTATTTGGTGTTCGTCTCTAAGTCAAGAGGGGAATAAGCCATCTATTAAAGCAGCAAATGCTTCAGAGATGTGTGTCCTGTGAATTACTGCTTAGTTATGGGAAGGTAGTTTCTTAGGTGCTGTGTGAATAAAATGCAGGATCTAAATCAAGTATTCTGAGGGAAGTGTCTTCACTTGCTACCATAAGCTGTACAAAATTGCATTCTCTTCATTGTTGATAATCTGAACTTCAACAGAAAGTGATGTGAATCATATTATCGATAAAGTACATGATGAATCTTTAAAGGGTGTTGCTGTGTACTTGGAGTTATCTTGCACTTACAGAGGTCTCCTAATGAGTAGAAGCTGCTAGTTTAAGTGGAGAATTACTATGACTTGAGCTAATCTTGATAAACATTAGCATGCTCTTAGATTAATTTTCACAGTAAATACTCCGAAGTGAATTTGGTATTTTTTTTTAATGAATTTTACTTTATCTGGGCCTTCAGTATTACATTTATAATCCAATATTCCTTCTTTACTTTACTCCCACTCTTTTTGAAAATGTGCATCACTGTCCTTAAGTCTTCCTGTAGCAGGAGTGCTTCTAGATGCAAAATCCACCTTTTGTGGCTTAAGCAAATAAGACTTTGCAACCAGAAATCTGGAGGATGAGTTGATGCTGGTTCTCAATCAGCAGCGGGACAGTGACTGGTCTGGCTGGTGAAGCTGCCCTTCTTTCGGCCTTTACCTCATGCTTTCTCAGATACAGGAGAAAACTGTCCCAGCTCCAGGAACATCATCTGGGGTCATGACAGGAAGAAAGTGAAAAAGGGGCGTGGATATGGCCATCTCCTTTACTAGGAAAAGTAGAAGCTTTCCTCGAAACTCCAGCAAAAATTGGCTTAGGTTTCCTTATTGCATGTCTGGTAAAGCAAGTGTTTCTAACCTCTAGAGGGAAAGCAGCAGGTCAGGTGGGGATTGGGAACAAAGATAGGTCAGCCAACAGTGTTTGCCATACTCCTCCTTGGCCCACCTTCCTCATCACAGGCAGATGACTGATTTTGCCTCCTGCATTACAGAAAAGGTTACAACTCAGAACCTCCTACAACCGAATTAGCCAACTTATCTACACTTCACCCATACTTTCTTTTCTCCCCCGTTTCAGAATGAAAGAGGGGCCTTTCCTCTCTGGTCCAGCCTCCAGGCAATACTATGGCAGTAGCACAGCAACGGCAGAGGCCACAGAGAAAGTTCCTTATACTCGGAGGGGAACCCTTTTTTATCTCATCAGAGGAGCTTAGGTCTCAGGAGCATGGTGCCAATCCCCACTGCCATTATTCTCTCTGTGTCCTCCCCCTGCTTGGACCAGGATGCAGACATAGTTGAGAGCAGTAAATGGCAGAGCAGGGAAACCAAAATCCCAGCTTCCTAGCTGATGACTAGTAATGGAGGCCTCAGGGAACCAGAAAATTTGAGGTTTATTGCAGAGGACGGAGACCAAGTGTGATTACCAAAAATAGCCTACGAACCCCTCTGCTCACCTCTAAACTGCATATGAATGGATCTGACTCTAAACAGTAAACAACAGGCATTGAGAACTGAGCTACAGAGGAGACTACCACCCAGAATCCAGACTGACCACTGGGTGGCATACACAAAGGACAGATCCAAATTGCACTGGAAGTGTTTGAAAATGGAACTGACATTGGAACCACAGCCCACACAATGCAGGTCAGAACTTGTGGCCTGACCCTAACTAGGGCAATTGCCTGCTAAAACAAACAAATTAACCTTCTCCTTAGGGTTTAGATGATACCCAGAATCTGACAACATAATTCAAAATGTGCAGGATACAATGCAAAATTACTGGGCATGGGAAGAACCCAGAATATTTCAATTTGCAAGGAAAAATCAAATTATGCCAGTGCCTAGATAATTAAAGATCTTAGGATTATCAGAAAAAGACTTTAAATAAGGTATTATAAATAATCATGCTTAGGAAGTAAGAGTGAATGAATAGGAAAATAGAAAACATCAGGAAAGAAACAAAATGTAAGTAAGAGCCAAATTAAAATTTTAGAGTTGAAAAATGCAACCAAAATAAAATATTTACTGTGTGAGTTCAATGGAAGGAGCCAGATGACAGAGCAAATAACTACAGCTCAACAGAGATTATGCTATTTAAATAGCACAGAGAATAAAATATTGAAAAACAGAAAAGGGCAGACAGTACAAGAAAACTACAATCCAAAATTTTTCATGAACATAGGCACAAAAATCCTCAACAAAATATCAAGTTGAACCCAGCAATGTATAAACAGAATAAAACACCTGCACCAAGTGGGGTTTACCCCAGGACTATTAGGTATTCAAAATCAAAGTAATCCACCAGGTTAGTAATTTTAAAAGGAAAAACCCACATGTTCATATTAATTGATGCAGAAAAATATTTGACAAAATTCAAAAGAACACCAAGTGCTGGTGAATATGTGGAGCATCTGGAACACTCAGACATTGCTGATAGGGATGTAAAATGGTATAGCCACTCTGAAAAAGTTTGGTAGTTTCCTATAAAAATAAGCCTGTACTTACCACATAAATTACTCTGCTCCAGCTGCTATAATACAATATACTGAATGGCTTAAATAACAGGAATTTTTTTTACCATTCTGGAGGTTAGGAAGTCCAAGATCAGCTGATTCAGTTCCCAGGTGAGGGCTCTTTTCCTGATTTGCAGATGGTCACCTTCTCACTGTGTCCTCACATAGTGGAGAGAGAGAAAAACAAGCTGCTTCTCCCTGTATCTTTTCTTATAAGGGCACTAGTTCCCTCATAAGGGCCCCACCCTCATGACCTCATCTAAACCTAATTACCTCACAAAGGGCCCTTCTTCAATACCATCACATTCAGGGTTATGACTTCAACATATAAATGGGGGGGGGGGGCAGGCACAAACATACAGTTCATAACACAGTATGACCCAGCAATCCCACTTCTAGATATTTTCTCAAGAGAAATAAAAACTTATGTTCACACAAAACCCTAATCATGAATATTGAAGGAGCTCTATTCATAATTGTCCAAATCCAGAAACTATCCAAAAGTCCTTTAATGGTTAAATGGATAAACAAACTGTGATACCTACAGTAAAATACTACTCGGCAATAAAATTAAATGAACTATTGAGATACTCGGCAACATAGATGAATCTTAAAGTCATTATGCTGAATGAAAGGTTAAAGGCATTATGCTGAACAAAAGGTATGTAAAGTTTGCATACTTTATGATTCCATTTATATTACATTACAGAAAAGTCAAAAGTATTTTGATGGATAATAAATCAGTGGTTGCCACAGGTTAGGGATGTAGGAAAGTTGTGAGTACATCCTGAGGGAATTCTATGGAATGATGGAACTATTCTATATCATGGTTTTGGTAGTAGTGCTAAAATTCACAGAGTATATGACACAAAAAAGCGCCAATTTTACTGTATATTAATTTTTTAAAGGAGAACTCCATGCAATGGAAAACAAAGAGCAAATAAAGCCAAAAGTTGATTCTCTGAGAAATTAATAAAATTTATAAATGTTAAGCAAAATTGATTAAAAACAAACAGAAATTACCAATTTCAGGAATGAAAGGGGTCATCACTACTGGTCCTGTAGACATTAAAAGGATATTAAGGAAATATTATGAATAACTTTATGCCAATAAATTTTGACAACGTATGTGAATTAGGTACATTTCTTGAAAGACAAACTACTTCCCCTTACATCTCATTGACTAGAACTGAAGAATATGGCCATTTCTAGTTGCCAGGGAGGCAAAGTGAGTACGTGGCAAAGGGAAACAGAATGGCTATAGATGGCTTTGCTCAATCACAACTTAATGCCTGTGACTAAGCATAGTGTTGCTCTCCACCACCCCCGCTCCCAAAATCCAAAAAAGTAAGGGGAGTGCTTTATATAGGAAGCTAACAATGCCTGCACAGTTAGATTTTCTGTCACTTGCAAACAAAAGACTCCTCTGGTGCAGTGCGCTCATCAGCTAAAATAGAATCTTTAACTAGTGTACTTAAAGTGCCCTGAGGGACAAACTCTTGAGCTGAGGGGTAGGACTGAGAGCTCCAAAATAATTGTTAGAGAAAAGCCTAGAAAAGATTATTCTTGGGTGAAATCTGGTAACACCAAATCTGTGCTGCACTTCCAAAGTGAAAACTTTCCTTCTCTTCCCCCATCTCAGGGTGCCTCCCTTCCCCAGCAGCACCCTGCCTCATTTAGTTTCCCCGGTGGTGTTCCATTCCACTCTACTGCAGCACTTCTCCACTGCCTTGTAAATACTTGCTTTCTTATCTATTTCCTTAAGGAGATGGTAATGCTAAATGAAGAAATCATGACTTCATTTTTGTCATCTTTAGTTCTCTGGAACCTATGTAATATCTGTTTTTTGTTTGTGTGTGTGTTTTTCTTTTTTGTCATTAATCAAGGCATGACATACTTTTAAGGCAAAGTTGAAAAATTTGGCTGGTAAAGAAACAAAGAGTCTTTTTTAGATTTAGACAGATTATTATTTACACAGAAAGTGAAAGCAAGATTGGCCCAAAGTACCAGCTCCTCATAAGTTTTTGTTTGACAAACCAAAAGGATGACACCAAACAAAAGGAGCTAGACGACTGCAACATGAGTCATGGACTGTCTTGTGCTAAGGGGCCAATGCCACGCTGCATCTAAGCCTTTTTATAGTCTGCAGTTGTACTGTAGGGGGGTGAAGCAGAAAGCCTTAATCACAACCCAGGAAGCAATGAGAAACTGTCTCATGACAACCTCCGTGGAAGACTGGGAACTGAGTGGCAAATGGCTTTGTAGCAGCTCCTTACAAGCCCCTCCTGCTCTCATGTTCTGGGAGGATCACAAGGTGTTCTGCCAAGATTCAGATCAGCGGCTGTTCACGCCTTGCTTATGTGGCCCGTGTAGATATGCCCAAGGTTGTCCAGCACTGGCAGGAAGCTATTCCCTACACTGAGGTCGTTCAGAGGAACAAGATGCTCTGTCTTGACTAGATCTTTAAGATGGCAACAAGGACCACAATTCAGGAAAGAGCCCACATAGTGGGGCTCAGAGGAGGATGTTTCAGAGAGGTGTCAGTCCCTGCCCTCAAAAGGGTAAATTAGAGAAAAAATCTTCATTGTGGTTTCCATTTACTCTCTTAGAAAGAATTAGGAATTATAGAACAGAATCCCAGCAGAGAGTTTTGTAAAATTTTGCAACATTTTTAACTTCCTTAAGTATTTCTTTTTGATGACCTTTTCTGTTTTTCAACATTAATTATGGGTGAAAACTCTTAAAGTAAAATAAAACAAAACAAAAATGCCTGAGCTCACCTTTAGGGGTCACAAAAGAGGGAAAGGTGGTAAGAGCAGCCAAACAGATTGGTGGCAGCAGCGAAATAGGAGATTGAAAAGGCTGGATTTCTGAAGCCTCCTAAGTGAAGGAAGAAAGAGGAGGATCAGAGTTAGCAGAAGTTCTGGGGAGATGAAGTTTGGATCAGAGTACAGAGTAGTGCTATACCATCAGCTGCTTGCTAACTTGCTCTCATTCACAAATCGGTTAGAGGCTGAGGGAACTTTGCAGAGGGCACTTTCCTGGATGAGGGAGGGAGCCAAAGCCTGCAGATTTTGCAATGCTTCTCAAAGGCTGGACCTGCATTTCTTACCTAGACCTTAAACAACAGAGCTCTTTTGTGTGGTTTCTGATGCCTGACCTGTGACCTAGCAAAGGCAGCAATGTGGCCAACACAGTTCATTCATTTATTCAACAAATATTTATTAAGTTCTCTATAAACCCAGCAGGCAGCATCCTATGACTAGGTGGGGATATTGTAGTGAACAAGTCAGGCAAGTTTCCGCCCTTCTGGGTCATACAAAAACCAAACCAAAACCATGGAAATGAATAAATAAAATGACTTGTAATAGTGCTACGTAGGGTGGGAGGGCTTACAGGAGGAAAGGTGGCCAGTGAGTGAGGCTGAGGATCCTGGGCCCAAGGTGAGCTTAAGCTGAGGTCAGACAGGAAAGGTAGGGAGCAGACCGCAGTGAGCCTTGCAGGCCGAAGTAAAAAGTTTTTTATGTCATACTTAAGGCAGTGAGGATCCATTGAAGGCCTTTAAATAGGAAATAAAGTAGTATGATTTACGTTATTAAATGATCACTTCAGCAGCTCTTTTGTGGTATAAAATGGCCAGCCTAAAGTCAGAAAATGACCACAAATTCTACAAATTCAATGTGAGATAATTCCCCACACTCTAACCTGTCTTGTATGGTTTCCCTAATACATCAGTTGGTCAAAATAAAGCTCTGTAGCATAGCCAGCGGGAGCCAGGGGTTGGAGTCATGCCTTGGTTTCAAATCCTGCTTCCCCCTTACTACTTAGGAGTTCTTGGCGGGTAATTCACTGCGCATTGGTTAGCTCTGAAATAGGGATAATAGAAGTTCCCACAGCATAGGGTTGTTGTGAAAGTGAATGACAATATATGTAAAGCATGGTGACGGTGCCTGGCACAGCGTAGTAAGCATTTATAAATACTAGCTTTTATTACTTCTTTCAGAGGATTACTGGGAAGATCACATGAGAAAATGCATGTGAAAGGGTTTGTGAAACGGTTAAGGCTGTGTTAATGGCAGAATTCTCCCTTTCTTTAACTTGTCTTTTAAGCGGAACACAGAGCGTTGGGCTACCCGAGGAGGGAGGCACGAGGCCAACCCCGGCCTCAAAGCGGTCATTGTCGTCGGGCCGCCCCTCCCCCGCCCGGGGCACATCTCCATGGCAACGCGGGGCTTCGCCTCTCCCCGCCTCCCGGGGCCCGCAGACAGGAAGCAGTCCGCGCTGGGGGCTTCTGGGAAACGGCTTGTGAGCGGCGTTTCTGCGTCTTCGGCGGACAGCGAAGCTGCTGCGGTTCCCGAGCCGGAGGTTTGCGCCAGAGCGGGGGAAAGGGCCTGCGGGGGTCGCCGGGCTAGGGGCCGCGGACCACTTCGCAGGAGCCAGCGGAGAAACCTGGCGGGGACCTTCCTTGGGTCCCCGGGAGGCGCGGGGGACAGGCCGTAGTCTCCGCGACCAGCAGTTGCGGGGCGCGGAGGGGTAGACGAAAGGCCGGGTAGGGCTTCCTGCCCCCTGCGAAGGTCCTTCTTCCCCCCCTTGTCCTCCGCGACCCCGTCTTTCCCCTCCCCCATCAGCCGGTTTTGTTCTATTTCGAGGCCTTGGCGTCTCGCGGAGGGTTCTGGGACTCGGTTCGGGAGGAGGTGGGAGAGGGCGGGCCTTGCGCGAGAACTGCCGGGACTTGTAGTTCCGCCGGCCGCGGGGAAAGTGCCGTGGGCCCGAC